ATTGCTTTTTCTCACTAGCCTTAAGGACTCCAGTAGCTTCACACACCTTCCCTGATTCCTTTTGTCTAGCTTCTCAAGTACTCATCCTTCTAGAGTTCTGGCAAGTTTTTATTTCTGTGCAAAACAGCGGCAGACCAACTCCCTGCCTCTCCAGCTCTGGGTCCCTTGACACCAGCCCTCTATCCCCAGAGCTCATTTCTTCCTTCTCCGTGTTTTTTTTCAATATCTTTTTTCTGCCCTGCTGGGATTTCTTAAAGAAGCCAGGATCTTCCACTTTCTGAATCACAGAGCATAGTTTCTTCATAGCTCCTCTCTCTCTCTCTCTCTCTCTCTCTCTCTCTCTCTCTCTCTCTCTCTCTCAGTAGATATGCTACATAGAGTCTCAGAACCCTGTGTGGAAATAGCGATCTCCCTGTGTTTGTTTTTAAGCATCTCTGCTACTCAAAATCCCTCTTCAGAGAAAACAAAAGGAAACCACAGAGTTTACAACAAGCACAAACTGGACGTATCATTGCTTTGACAGCTGCAACTAAATGCCCAGAAGCTGTGGTTTGCATTTTTGCAACAAATCCAATAAAATATATTGAATGGCCACAAACCACGACCATGTTCATTGCATAAAAAATGGTCAAATGACCTTGGGTTTAGGGCACAAGTATGAAAAAAGTGGCTCTGGGAACGTTTTTGGTCTCCCCTTCCCAATACCCCACCTTCCATTGTTTCTAGGTAGTTAAAATAATTATAGTTTATTGATCTCTATCTTCTTCAAATTGGAATGGGAACTGGATTAGTCACTTTCATGATTCTCTACCATTTTACTTGGTTTTCATTGTTCCCTTTGATGACTTGCCACATTTCGACTCATCCATTGTCAGGACCTAAGTTTAGGAAAACCTCCCCTTGAAGTTTTCTTTGCTTCAAACTTTACACTCCCTACCAGGGAGAGCTAAGAGTCAAGTACCCTACTCTGCTACCATTTTATGTAACTGTCTGCATTGCATTCATCATATTCCATTTTCATTCTATATACACTGAAATGATCACGGGGCTTTGGAACCAGACAGACTTGGGTTTGAAGTCCAGTTCTGCCAACTGTGTGATCATAGGTGAGTTACTCAGGCTCTAGAAATCAGTTTCTTCACCTGTCAAGTGGTAATAATCATCCTTTTAAGATGGTAACCTGAACGCCTGGCATATGGAAGATGCTTAATAAATGAGTCCTTTTCCTTTCCCTTCCTGGTGGTGTTTTACTTATTGTGATATTCCTGTAACTGTGTCAGTGTTTGGTACATAGGAGTTCAGATGGATATAGTTGCTGAGGAAATGTGTACGACCTCTCTGTGAGGTAGTTATACATTATGCATTTTTCATCTTGAAAAAAAGCAAACCACCCATCTCAAGTGTGGTCTGTTTTCCTAGTCATTGATTTTGTATTTTCCATTTGTAGTTCAGTTTTCCAGGTTTCTTTGGCTCTCATAAGCTCCCAGATTGTAGCTAGAAGAATTACTCACTATTGCTCAAATGTCAATGACCATAGCCTTTTTGTCAAACAACATTCAAGGTTAATTTGAGGCACATGCTTCATTTTAAAGTAAGAATAATTTGTCTCAAGTAATCTTTCCCTTACTCTTTCAGTTATTCTCCATTTCTTGGAGTATTCATTTGACATTTATTGAGCGTCTACTATGTATTGGGAACTGGGAATACAAAAACAAATGAGATGTGGTCTTTCCCCTCTGAAGGGAGCATCCCAAAATATGTCTTTTGGCATAAGGATTATTTTGAGCTGGTTATTTTTAAGAAAAGCAGACACAGGAGGAGCTTTGAAAACCAAGTAGAGGTTACCAATTCATAAGGACAATTTACATTTTATAAGGTAAATTCGTAAGGGTAGAGATTTATAGATAGAAATTTGTACTCTGTTTATTTGTAAGGGGTCTCCTTCTCTGTGGCAGGAAGAGGATGACTAAAACTAGAAACTCTTATCAATGGAGAAGGCTCAGACTTAAATCTGCATAACAACTTCACCCTTGTTTACTGTGCTTTTCTTGAAAACCTCCCATAACTGGCCTCCTCTCCAACCTCTTTTCTTGGATGGGAAGAGAAGGATGAAAACACAAAATTTAAATTACCAGGAAAAAGAAAAGTAAGGAAGTTTTGAAATTTATAAAAAGAACATTAACGCTCTCCCTTTCAAAATGTTGCTAGGCATCTGTATTATGTGATGATAATGGTTTGGTCTCTCCCCTCAATCCTTTCACAGCTGTGGTTGTTCTTGCTTGAAGTAGACAAAGGATGTCTGTTGAAACATTTGGCTCCCACCATCATAAAGATATTTCATATCTTCCGTTTCCTTTGGTGTCTCTTGTTCAACATAATATATTACGTGGCTTCTCTGGGATCTTGAAAGACACACTACATTTTTTTTTTAATTGTGGGGAAAAAAATCCTCCCCATAGTTTTAATTTAACATAGTCTTGGAAAAGTGTCATAGGCCTAGAGAGAAGGAGAAGAAGCAAATATATGAGCAGAAAAGGAATCAAAAGCATAAAAACTGGAACAAGAGGTTGCCTGGGACAGGGAGACAGAAGCCATGTTTCCTTGACATTGTACATCTGGTTGAAAAATAAAGATGCTGGTGCATTAGCCAGGTGTATTGTTTCTACCATGCCAATCAATTTACTTTAATGGAACATTCCCCCTTGTATACAATTTTGTATGGTCTCTATACAACAAGAGAAAAGGCAAAACAAAAGAAGGTAAAAGAATATTATAGGATATAAGGAAGGTGAGGATTAAAAGAAGGATGGATAGAGTAGGATTAACCATAAGGAACAAAAAGAATGATCTTTTGCACAGCAATATGGTTCCTGTCTTTTGTGGCTTGTAAACACAATGGGCTGTGATACATTGGGGGTAAAATCTGCAGTTAATCTGTGCTTTTAGTGCCAGGGTTCCCCATTGGCCTCAGAAATGTCCACATCTGCCATCTGGTCATCAAGCATTTCAAAGTTCACCATCCTCTGTGTAGTGCCAGATTTATGGTAATGGATTTCCTTTGTAGATAAAGGGGGTCAAGTTTAGCTTTCTGAGATATTGATTTTAAGCTGTTTATTAAGAAACAAGACTCAGAGTGGACCTTTGGTCCATTTTTGCCCAAGAGATTCAGACAAAAAACCCCCAAAACCAAAAAACCTGCTTCAAGAAGGAAGTCTTAGGATGTTGCCTTTGCTGAACTTGATTTAAGTATGGTCGATGGGAAGATTTCAGACAGGGGCCTGTTGACTAGATTTCCTGTTTCCCATTGTTTCTGAGTTGTCCAGCAAGAATTTGTCTGCCAAGTGTCCTCAACTCTTCCTCAACTGCCTGTGTATCACCCATTCTCACTTCTGAAGTCTAAAACCCTTTTCCCTCTTTGTCAAACATGACATATATACCCAACGGTGCCTTGCTATCTTTGGAATTTTCATGCATATGTGAATTCCCCATGCACATATATTAAAATTTGATTTTCCCCTGTTAATCTGTCTCTGCTAGTTTGACTATTAGCCCTTAGAAGGTGGGAGGAGAAGTATTAATTTGTTATTTTTAGCCCCCACACAGATATATCAGTGGAAGCCCACACCAGGTTTTGGCCCCACAAGAAACCATGTGAAGAGTTGGTCAGGCTTTTCCTTGCAAAACAGCAGGTGCAAAACGTTAAGCTCAGGTTTGACACAGTTATCAGTTTTATTTTTCCAAAGGCCTTGTTGTCTATGATATCGAGACTGGTTCCATCCATAGGCTGAGTAAAAAGCCACTTGGATGTTAAAATTCTGCTTGCCCCAGATCTTTCTAGCTGTCTTACCAAATAGCTTCAAATAAAAACATACAAACAAATAAATAAACAAACAAAAAACAACTGAGCTAGTTTGTATTACTTCTTTGGGTTACAATGTGAAGTCCTGATTAAAATAATTCTGTTCAGTGTAATATTTACAGATACCTCCACTGGCCTTTGGGAAATGAAGTGAAAACAGGTATGTTTTGAGAAATGAGCGGATATGAACAAGGGCACTGTGCAGGGCCTGGGAGAGCTTCCTGGAGTCACTGGGCGCTGGTAACACTCAGGTAGTTTGGTGCTGTTGTCTGTCACTTTGGTTGTCATGGTAACCCTCTGAACTAGGTCCTGATCTCTCCATTTTACAGATGAGGAAACAAGGTCTGCACAGATAGTAAATGGTAGATCGATCCAAGATTGAATTTAGGCCATGCTCCACTACGACAGATCACTGCCACACAGCAGCATTTGCTGAAGGTAGGAACTGAGTTCCATGCATCTTGTTGTTCTTAACACAAGGTGAGTAAACAGACCTCACAAGAGCCTGTCTGGGCTCTGGAAGATAGTTAGGGGGTGGGTGCTCTCCAGGGTAGAATTTTCTGTGTTGCTAAGAATTTTCTGAGGCTTATATGGAGGGTCAGGGATTCTGAAAGGGAAGAAAGGATATGCAAAGAACTGGTATCAGAGAATCATTTCCACAACTCAGAAAATCTCGTTTAACTACATTTTATGCATGGCAATTGCACCCAGTATTTTTAGAAGATTTTTCTAGGAAATGTGTGTGCCACCACTTTTTACTTCATTGTTCATGGTGTGACATATTCTTCTTTTACATTTTGGTAGCACACTGATTAAAGTAGCAAGCTCACTTTTATACTGTGTTTCCCTGAAAATAAGACCGGGTCTTACATAAATTTTTGCTCCAACAATCTACATTTACTCATTTACTTATGTACAAAAATCTACATTTATTCAATGTAGATTTTTGGCTGATGATCTTAACTGGGGCTTATGTTTTGGGTAGGTCTTCTATGATGAGCATCCTGAAAAATCATGCTAGGGCTTCTTTTCTGGTTAGGTCTTATTTGCGGGGAAACATGGTATATAGAAATTATTTTCAATTAGATTGCAATGGACTTGTAAAAAGGAGGCCACTGAGTCAAGAGAGACACACATGAAATACTTGAAATAGAAAACATATTTCAAAACTACATATATGAAATTTATTTTATATTTTTCACCAACTTGGTCATTTGACCTGTTAAGACATTTATCAACTTTCTGAGATGAAGTGTCAGATATCCATAAAAGATGAGTTACAATATAAGCATCTTTAGCCTAGGTTTAAAAACACAATGAAAATAGGACTCCGTTGGTTTATAGAAATTAAAAAAAAAGTATAATAAGTTCCTAATAGAAAGTTTTTAGTTTTCCAGACAATGTCTATATTGTTGATAGTGTTACCATTGGATATGTTGTCAAATATATTGATATCAGGTATTATGACCAATGATATTTTAATATTTTTAGCCATAAGAAAATATTTTAAAATCTATTTCAATAAGTATGGTACTTTTTGACATCATCACTTAAATTTTACTAAAATATCAGCTTTACAAAGTATCAAACTTTCAAGAGAGCAAATATATGGATTTCTCAGTCTAGGTTAGAAAATAGTGGTTTGAAGTTTTTGATAAAAAAATTAAACAAAATTTGTATATTATATTCAGAAACAGAAACAATCTTATAAAAGTAAATTGATTTATTCAGCTTTATACAGAAAAATGGGATCAGGGTGACCTGCAGAGATATGAAGGCTGTGACTGGGAGGTGGGCTCAGTCAGGGGCCTCTGTCCAGGTTGTCCCTGAATTTGCCCAGCCCTCACTCCTCCTCTCTACCACATGAAAAACCATGTCAGTGTCTACAATATAATTTCTAAAAATATACATTGATGCTATAAAAATAAATGTCTTAAAAAAACAACCACAGGCTTGAACAGAAATGTAGGGTAGGTGGGGCTTCAAGGCTCTTCGTGAGGGAGCAGCTTCCACTGCATTGAGAGATCAACATGCTCATCAAAATCATCTAGCTCCTGCTCCTTGGAGAGCTCCAGGAAAACCTGAAAGGGGGCAAGGAATAGAGAGAGAGGGATATCACACTGCTTTCTCCACGTGAGTGCAAAGAGTATGCACTTAACTGTACATTTACATTCCATGGATGATAGAAAATCTCTAAAACTGACCCACCTGCTCCAGGGTGGACTGTGAGAGGCTGTACTCCTCCAGGTCGAAGCTCTGTTTAACTGCACAAGGATGGACGTATGTTAGGGGTTTATATATTTTTATATCCAGATGGTCTTAGAAGTCAACATAGAGTACAGATAACAATTTTAAAAACTTAAATAAAAAGGTTAAGATAATAATCGTTCATGGTTTAAGTACAGTGTTCAGTTAAAAGAACACCAATGTATTCCTGTAGTTTTTGGGGAAAAGGTGCTGGTATGTTGCACAGGTTTTGAGATCTATATTTAAAGGAAGAAATGGTGCTGAGACAGCTTTCTTCCCTGCAGGAGAGCCAGTGCTTTTGCACATTCAGCACAGGAAGAGGTGGAAGGCAGACACATTTTGAAAAGGGTCTCGTCAGAAGATTATAGAGAAAGATGTCTGTGGTTTTCTAAGGAGCAGATAATGCTCACAGGCCTCTGTCCATCAATGTAACTGGATCCTAAGCAAATTAAAAACCCTTCTCCTTGACCAAAATGGACTGGGTAGGTAGTTAGAGCCTTGCTGAGACTCCAGCACACTGGAAATATGCCACCAACTGTAACAGATCGGAAATATACCACCAAAAGTATCAGACTAGTACCGGCTGCAGTGCCAATCCAGTCGTGCCGTGAATGACCCCATGGCCCAGAACCTGGGGTGCTCTGCTCAGAGAATGGAAACAGGAGGGGTCGTTGTGACCTCGGATGCTATCAACAGGAGTAAGAAGAGTCTTCCAGAACCACGAGACTCGAATCTCTTCTCAGGGAAGGTGACAAGCAAGTGAAGATATCATTGAGCAATGACAATGAAAAGTACAGGGAAGGAGCTCTGGCCAGCACAGTGCAGAGTAGCAGGGCTAACGGGCTTGGATGGCAAGGAAAACATGAACCTGGCGATGGCAGATGCAGCATGCTCAGTTTTCAAGTGTAGCAGGCACAAGAAGATTGTCTCAATGACCAGACAAGAGGTCAGTTTCTTAATATTGAGCCTAAGGCAATAAAACAATCTGCAAGTCCACATATTTAAATTAATTTTAAATAGGCAAGCACCAATATTCCAAAGACAGCATTCTCCTTAAATGCACATGTAACTGAGTTTTGACTTAGGTCGTACCAATATAGACACAAAAATACATGGAATAACCTCACAAAGCAAATAAAAGTCACTCCCATTACCCACCCCCCTCCCCCCAACACGGAATCCCTCCACTTTCTTGGTATTGTGCCCCTAAAAGTCAATTTGAGATTCTAACTTTTCAGTTTAACACATTATGTCACATTTCATTTTGGTCACATGGACAGATTATTTTATCATTTGAAATTCTGCTTTCAGCATCTTATTTCAAAGTTTATCTCTCTTACCCCTCTCTAGTTTGAAGAAAGCTTGGGCTAAAGGTTGCACATCTTCCACCGGCAACTTATACACCATCAGGGATGAGTACCTGGAAGAAGAGGAGGAGAGAGAGAGAGAGGCTGATACCACCTGTGGCAGATGGAAACCGACTGCCAATGCCACTCTGGTCTTTATTTCTGTAAATAAGAGTCGGTTTGGTGGAGGTGAAGTGTCTAAGGCAAATCCATAGTAATAAAAAGGAGGCAAGTCACAAAAAGGATTGGGGATGGGAGAGTAAGACCCAGATAGTTGACCGTCCTTGGATGGAGGTTAGCAGGTATAGCATAAATGAAATTTCCAGATTTACCAGTCACCTTTCACTTTATTTTCTAAGCTAAACACTTACTCTTTGGTTTCATCCTCCAATCAGGCACTGACACCATGTAGTTTCTTAAAGTTTCCCAACTTGGGTAGAAATCTAAGTCTGTTCTCCGGAGAATTCACACCTCTCCCATCTTCCCCCACTCTTGCTCAAAATGCTTTCCTCATATAGGATAATAAAATTGAGTCTCTGGCGAGGATACTAGAGTTCCCCCAAAATTCAGTGCCAAATAATGTTCAGCAACAACAATTTTTAAAATAATTTGTTTCTCAGATGTTTGTCTTTTCATCATTTGGAAATCAGGAAGATTTAGATTTCATTTCATAAGATACTGTTTTGTATATTTATGGAGCAATCATTCTCATGCATTTTTTCATTCCTTATCCCTTTATGACATATTTCTACTCAGTCCTGGGCTGTACATTGAGTTACAGCATTGCTTTAGTATTTATACTCCACTGTAGAAATATATTTTCTGAGCTTGTTCATTATGATTTATTTCTCTTACTGTTTTCTCCCCTAACTCCTTAATCACCTACCTGACTCCTGTAGTAAATATTAGGTGTTAAAATGACCCTAAAGTTAGTCTTTGATTTTTTTAGTGTATTACTTTCATGAGGATTGTTCCATTACCAGACTCTATATAAAATTGGAAATATTAATAGATTTGGAATAAAATAATCAGCTTTACATCCTAGTTCTGCCACTTGTTACCTGTCATTTGATCTAACATGTCTACCAATTTCCTATTCATAAAGATAATAATTCCATATATTAAGGTCCTTCAAAAGGCCAGACTTTCACAATGCCTTTTTGAAATCATCTCATTTTTCACTGGAATACCATGGCCTACTTTGGAAAGTTATGGTGAGGATTAAATAATACAAGACCAGGACAATGACCAGCACATAGTAGGACCACAACATGTGCTTCATTAGCAATTCTCTTCTGCAGTATCCAACAAATCATTTCTTTCTTTTAGGTTTCCTTTTGGTCTAAATGTGGACTCAAATGATGAAAAATCAATGAAACTGACAAAGAAAAGTGGACATTTGTTACCAGATCAAAACCAGCCACCATCTTTACCTGTTCTGCCGTGCAGCCTGGGGGAAAAGCCTCAGAATTTCAGTGTGGAGGGGCTCCACTTGGGTGGGGGTCTTCACCTTCATCTCCAGCAGGTAATCCTTGCCAAATTTGCTCTTCAGGTGCTGGATGGAACCAATACACCTGGAAGGAGGCGCAGGAGGTCATAACAGAGAAAGAAAAAGACACAGAATGCAACATTTGAGACACTTGGTTTGCCGCTAGTGTTGTGTCGAGGGTTTCACTGTGAGACCCAGGTGCAGTGGTTCCAGCTCTTCACAGTGATCTCTCTCTGCCCACAGACATATTCTTCTAGCCATGCACCTGGGGGTCAAGTGTGGGCTTGGATGAACACCCACCTCAGCCTCCCGGACACCATGATGGCCACACGGTCACACACAGCCTCAGCCTCTGCCATGTAATGGGTGGTTAGGAGGGCTCCCCTCTCCATGTTTTTAAAGGTGGCTCGGATCGCCTGCCTATATTGTCAAGAGAATAGTCACAATTAAGGAAGTCTTCTAATGAATCAGAAATGGATGGAGAGAAGAATTCTTAACTGGCATGATTATGAATAATTAGCAAAAAGAGATTAAGCAGGAGAGGACTCTTAAGAGGGCAGGTGGGATGAGGAAGGGCAAACCAGGTGAGAGGTGTTAGAAGGCATTAGAAGAGGGGAGTTCACAGAACACAATATTTATTATGAGGTCGTATTGAAAGAGAAATGCTGAGCAAGAGGCTGTTTATGAAAAGGCTGTGCAGAGGGGAAGAGAATGGCATCAAATTGAACAGAGTGGTCACAACCTAGTAAAAACAAATCAATGCAAAATAAACATACGTGACAACATCCAGAACCCGCCTTCTGCCCCCACCTTTGCAATCCAACGAGAGTTCGCATTCTATGTGACAACGCTATATGATTGTGTCATATTGTGTCAACAGAGATGTGCCTAACACATCAATCGAGCAATTCCAATACTCAGAATGAGTATCTTTGGGCCCTGGCAACATTTCTGTTTCCTTTAATGAGAAATGGTTAGGAAATATTATCAGGGGGAAAAAAATCTTGTTTTGTCAAAGTATCAGTTTTACTAATGATACTGAGGTGGTTTTTTTTGTTTTGTTTTGTTTTGTTTTTCACACTAAGAAACAGTTTAAGGGACAATTTCTACAGGAGTAAAACAATTCACAGGTGTGTTGCAAGGCATCCACACTGGCCCTGACCAGGTAGCGCTCCTCACCACATCTGCAGCTGCCCCTCGGGGTCCATCCCGGTGGACGGCTCGTCCAGCAGGACCACCGACGGGTTTCCCAGGATGCTCAGCGCGAAGCACAGCTGCAACGAGAGGGACAGCGCGTCTGGCACCGATCTGTGGGCTGCGCAGAGTAACCCCGAGCCCCGCCCCTACCTTTCTCTTTATTCCCTCCGATAAGGCCTTCACAGGACGCTTCTGCTCGGCCTGCAGCTTGAGCGCATCCACCAACCTGCGGGAAACAATGGCGCCTTACACACTTCTTGACAACAAGGAAAGTTGATAGGAGAACGGGGCCACGAAGGACAAGGATGGGGAGCAGAGCTCAGAAATGTGGTTCTGAAAACAGATGCCCGAACACCCTAAAATTGACTGGCTTGCTCCCTCCCCCAGCCCCCCCCCCCGAAAAGATAGTCTTTCCATTTAAAAGAATAAAATCACATTTCATGACGTTCAAATAGCTGTCCTAGGATAGACTACACTTAAATTTTAGTATTTTTGATAAATTTACCAGTGAATAGTGACTTTTTTCTTTCCATGTTTAATATGAGAAAAAAAGAACACTTTGAAATTGAGGCAACTCAGTTTCTAATTGCAAATCTATGCAATGTGGTCTGAGTCGGCAATGAGTCTCCTCGCCTCACTTTCCCACGGAGGGAGAACAGGTGTGTCTTCCCATGTACCGTGAGATGGCGACCTCGGCGTCCGCTTTCCTCAGCCCTTTCACAGCCGCCAACACCTCCAGATGCTCCCTCACCGTCAGGTTGGGCCACAGCGCGTTCTCCTGAGGACAGTACCCCAGGAACCCCAGGGGGGCCCCTTCGCTGCTCCCTTTCAGTTGCACCTGCAGAGAAAAGTTCACTCTCAGTTCCTACGTCCTGCGTTGCGTCTCTGTGTTGCCATGACACCTTGCACCTTGCAAACCTAGGAAAACTAGAGAAGTTCTAGGATCTCACTGAGTTTAGTCATCTGTAACCAGTTTGCATGGGAGGAAGGTTGTCAGAGAGCAAGCACCTGGAAACAAACGTATGCACAGCCTAAGCTAAGCTGCAAATCAAGTATCTCACAAGTGTGGTGTCTTACCATCATGGCCAAGAGTTTATATCCAATTTTTTTTGTTTTCATCGCATTCAGAAAGACACACGTTAATTGCTCACTATTGAGCGTCACTCACTGATGAAATGTGTTTTGAGAACTGCCGATGTAACCAATACTGAGCTGCCTGCTTTGGACGCAGGGAGCAATGGAATGGCCAGTGGTTACTGGGAATTTTCACTCTACTGGGCGAATCAGGCAGTCACCAAGCAGAGAAATGAGGCTGATCGTCAGTGGTACGGTAAAGGAACTATTCCATTAGGTTGGGGTGGAGAATAGCAGGGGAAGTGACTTAGATGATTAGAGAAAGCCATTTCATCAAAGGAGCAAGACGACGCCTGCCGTGGAAAAGGCCAGACGAAAGGGATTTGGGGCAGAGCAAAAGTCCTGGGGAGGGATGACACTCAGTGTCTTCTGAGACCTGAGGCAAAGCCACGGGTCCCGGAGCACGGTGATCAAGGGGACAAGAGAGAGATGAGGCAGAAGGGACACAGAAACCAGCTCCTGACAAGCAGGGGAGGTTTCCTTCCAGCCATATGCTTTGGGAGGTGATTGAAAGTAGTTAAGCAGGTGACATTATTTATAAAGTTCACACTGGTTGATCTGATTGAGGCTGATTTCATGATACCCAAATAATTGGCTTTATAATTAAGCTCTTACCTTTTAAAATATTTCATTCTAATATATCAATAAACAGTTACCTCTTCTGTCCATGCTTAATGAGAAATGAAATATTGATTTGGGGTCCCGGGGGTGATTGAATTGCAGGGTGGTCTCAACTGAACTAAGGAGTCCTGTTGGGCTCGGCTAGCCACCAAAATCACCGAGAGGCCTCCTTCATGAACACCTGCTCTCACCTCGGCTTTAGAGGGACTGCGACTATGTTTTCTCCTTCCGCTTTAGTGGGATATTTGTCCATCACATTCCTAGTGACTTTTCCCCTTGTGGGCTTGGCCACCAACCCCCTTCCCTTGGTGAAGTTCCACAGACCCCCGCCTTCGATTCTGTTCTTCCCTTCCCCTGGATGTGATTTCCAAGGAGTTCTTAAAGCTCTCTATCTTCTGCCATAGAATTTGGGGCAAACGTTTTCTCTACACCTTGTCTCTCTCCAATAAATCAGCTCTTTTCCTGTTTGCCTGGCCCCCTTAGATAGTGGCTTTGCAAGTACAAACCAGTCAGATTCCTATGCTGCTGCTCAACTTCAAGCCAGTCCTTGAAAACACATCCCCAAGATCATGTATTTGAACCAAAATATGTGTCCCAGCACTTAAGCACTTTTTGAAGGACAGTGAATATGCTTGCTTAAGAAAGGTTTAAAAAAAAAACACACACATTTTTATTCAACATTAAAGCATTACATACTGGGAGGGCAGTGGTCATTGGAAGTGCAAATCCATACTATAAATAAAGTTTGTATGGATTTTGATATTGATTTCTGATCTGACATTGGACATTCCCTCCAAATGCATTTGAAGGCATGAATAATTATCCCCTTTCTGTGATTCATCTTTGTGTATATTAATGTGATAATTTGTGATATATTCCTCTGCTGCATTGATCGCTTCAATAATATAATGATTGAATGAGATTTTTGTTATATACAAAGTTTTAACACCTTGTAACTTTTGTTTGGAGCACTATTAGATACCGTATTTTCCACGTAACTCACCTACCTGTCCAGCAGTTGGTTTTGTGTCTCCAGTTATCACCTTAATGGATGTACTTTTACCAGCTCCATTGTGTCCTAATAATCCCAAAACCTCACCTGAAACAAACAAAAAAATGGTTACTTTTTTAATAGTAAAAATAAGAATAAGACAGTCTGAAATCTCACTATGTAACAAGTGTTGTGCTATGTGCTTTGTATATAGTATCTCACTTAATTGTCACAACCCCCACCCCCCACCACCATCACCACCCTGAGAGGTCATTATCATAATCCTTTCTTACACATTTGGCGACAGAAGCTCTTAGGGGTGAGGTTAATTACCCAAAGTCACAGAGATGGGAAGCGACAAAGCCACTCTTGGAAGCTAAGTGTGACCCTAAGCGCTGTGAGATGTCACAAAATGAGTTCACCTAACATCTGCTTGCCCAGCTTTCAGAATGTGCTAGCATATCCCATGAGTTCTCTTGTGAAAAATAATGAGCATTAGGAAACCAATCGTGTTTATTAAATAGAAATGTCACAGTCTCAATGGTTCACTTTAAAAGAGCGCTTATGGTTTCCATGTAGATGTGACTAAGTCCCTCTCCATAGGCAGGAATTAACGAATTTCATGTAGCAACGAGCCGTGTAAAAGGAGCTGTGAAGGTCACCAGCTGATGGGTCTGCGTGTGAACCAAGAGACGGTGTAGGGAATAATTCTCGTCAAGAACCATCACGCTCTAAGGAGGGCCCTGAGCCAACAGTGGAAGGAAGGGCCACGGTGTCCAACCTTTTCTAACACAGAAAGAGACATTTCTCGTGGCTATTTTCTTCTTCCTCTTGGAAAAGCAGTGTTTCCTCTTCCCCATATACTCCTTGCGTAGACAGCTGGCAATGATGACTGGTTTCTGTAAACGACAAGTAAATCATGTCAGACCTCCATTCTCCCCATTAACCTTGCAAAAGCTCTATTATCCCACTGGGTTGGTCCCTCGCTGCACAAGCCATGCATCAGAGAAGACCTTCTACTCGGGGACACGTTTTTTTGGCAATTCTCCCAGCCGAGCTCTTCTTTTGCGACAGAAGAGGCTATCATTTGTCTCTCCGACAAAGGCAGTTACTCAGGAGCACATTATTATATGCAGCTGGCCCATCTCTCAGAACAGAAGCATAGAGACTTGGAGAAACACCAAGTCACCCTTAAAGGACCAAACAATGTGCTGTGGACCGGACTTCACCCTGAATTTTGTACAGGACACTTTCTCCCAGAAGCAGTGGCATGTGCCATTTTGCTCAGTTTCTAAAATCCACAAGTTCTTTCTTGGCTTTTGCGATTTTAGTTGCACTCCACTTTTTGTTGTTTTTTTCATTCTAAGAAAGACAGAGCAAGTTCTCATAACTTTTAATCTGCTCATCTCGATGTAAAAATGACTACCTACTAAAATCAAGGATGACCCTCATTTGTATGAATTAGAGAAACTCGATATCATTGGAGAATTAGACTTGTAGATGGGCCGCTTTAACTGACAAACGTTTGTGTCATTGGATGAAATAACCTATGTCGTGGGTTTTTACCTCATCAAAGTTTGTGGAGCTCAAAGCATTTGCTGTTCTCAGTCTTTCCATCCGCACATCTTCGTCCTCTTCTTCTGGTTCTTCTGGATTTGGGCACACATCGCTGTTTCTTGGAGAAATTCTGGAGTCAAAACCATCCATTAATAATTGAGTTGGGGTTTTCACCCTTGTATCATGAATATTATATCTTATACTTGAGTAGATTGCATAATTAATAAACCATCATAATCTCCCTTCAGTGCCGTGAACCCTCATTCCTTCACTACCTCCTTCTTTAATGACACTACTATATTTAATAACCATTGCTTCTTTCACATCTTTCATTCTACTTATCTATAGAAACATTATTTTTTAAAATAACAATAGGCAACTTAATACCTATTATCTGACAAAGAATTTTAATATCATAGCTTAATGAAATAATTTTTCTGGGAACCCTAGCTTTGACACCAACATCTTAGCATTGCCTTTTCACAGGGAGACTAGGTCAGAATATTGGAAGTCAGATGCTCCGCCCACCACCACCAATACAAGTAAATGTTTGATTTCCTATTAAGCTGGGCCATGTCTTTGGAATATGTGTCAGATTCCCTCTTTCTCCTCCATTCTAACTCTGTCCCTCATACCCAGAATATATCTCATTCTATTCTCTCTTCCTTCAACCTAATCACCCATACTGATCTTAGGAGATTTCTTAAAGGTCTTCTTTCATCTTGGAAGTCTCTCACCCAACTATCTGTAATAGTTAAAGATGAGAAACTGATATGGTTTGGGAGACACAGAGGGAATAAGATATTTGTGGCTACGTTCTTGCTTGGTGCAGAAGAGGAGGTCTCAGCTTTTAAGTTCCATTGAAAACTGAACCAGTCTATGATTCACCAGTTGGGCTGCTCACTACCGCAGGAAAAGAGCACAGTTATTATTGTTTTGGACCAATTTATTCGTCATTCTATTCTTCCCTTGTGCAGCGGCAGCATTCCTTCTACTGCCAATCTATTTAAATGATCAATAATTGCTATTTAAATGAAACTAGCTGCATGTAACTCTCTCTAGTGTTCCACTGTACACAGTGTCTGATGGAGCCCTTAACATGCAATGTTTCCTCCACTATTTATAACCTTTTGTTTAGGTACCTAGAGCTCTATTATTTGTATTGGCACGTGGTTACTACCTGAGTCTATCCTAGCAGTTGGCACTTGTTTGTTAATGGATTAACTTATGCATGAAAAAATACTTTCGAATATTGATCGCTGAAAGGAAAGAATCCAATCTGATATCTTCCCACCTAAATAACGGGTCCTTTCTCATTGACTTTTTCCCAAACTTCCATTCCAGGCATCGAAGAATAAAAACAAAGATGATACAATGAAGGAAAGGCTAGAAATAGAGAGAGAAAGAGAGAGATGCACAATTAGAAACAGTAAAAGAAAACGGTTTCATACCAGAAGTGAATTAGGAATAATTGGACTTCTACAAAGATGTATTTGGCAAAACCATGAACATTTCTAACAGTCTATTTGTCAAATTGTGAAACTATCAAATTCCCTTTCAATCTTGTTTACAGAAACACTAGAAACTAATGTAATTATGTGACATCATTACTTCATTTCCCCAAATAGTTGTACCGTGTTCTTAAAATTTGGGCAGCGGATTATCTGGTTAGTTGATCTTTATAAAAAAAGGTTGTTTCATATTTTATAAATATTTTGTCTCTATGGGCTACAGATACCTATAGATCCACCTTAATAAAAAGTTTCATCGTGTTTACAGGAATTAAAATGGTTGAGTTTAGCAAAACACATGATCATTTTTAATGAAGAGTGTGTTCTTACAATTAGGAATACCAGGAAGGACTCTGTGCCGGCTGGTTCTCCATTAAACAGAGGAAACATAAAAAGCTGCAAAGAAAAAACACAACAGTTACATGGGAAGCTTTTTTGTTTCCTGAATTTTATCCATATAAACGTGATTGGCCCATTGAACAGCCCTACGGGCATGCCCCCTGAGTTCACCAACAGTATTGGCTAATGCCCATTCTATAATGTGTAGTGAGGGGCTGCCTTCCTCCCTCCCAAGGTCTATGAACCACTGTCCTTTTATTTGAAGCTATAGGAGTTAGCAGTTATTCATCCCCTGGTGAGAAAGTGTTGGGGTCTGTGCTAGCCTCCTCCCCAAACCGTGAGAGAGGCAAGATGTATCCTAATCACACAGGCCTTCCCACACCTGCCCACTATTCCTGTCACAAGGCCCCTTTCTTTCCTTCCCCTTCCCCATGGATACCTCTTCACACACATACTGCCACTTCCTGCCTTTTGTAGAAATATGGGTATCATCAGCTAGCAAAAAAAGGGGATTTTATTCACATCGAGAGCTTCTCTAGAATCCTGAAATCCCCCAAATTAGGGACATTTCATTTGTTTCCTCCTAAAGCTGTGTAACGCCCAGAATAAGTATAAAGGCTGCTCAATTTCTCACCACCCATTATCCTTCCTCCCCACCCACTCATCAGGGCCAGCTTTTCTATTCTAGTTCAGCTGGAGGATATTGTTCTATCTAGGAGACATCCAATTGGAATCCATGAAGGAGAAATTGTCAAATGTCATGCATATTTCACATGTTGTTCCAACCCTAAGCAAGGCTTTCACAATTGGTCATGAGTTCCAAGACACTGGGACAGATAGTGGCATTACTTACATGAAAAGATATGAACACACAGCCCAATAATGTGGTGTGTGGTATTAAAAAGGTGATGATAAAAAGTGAACTGTAGGTATCCACCACAAATAAAGTCACACAGAAGAGGGTGATCTAAAGAAAACACAAATATGCATGTTAACCACTGTGAACTTTAACAGATGTTCCAAATTGAGATGGCTCATCTTGGAGATAGTCCTAATTTCCACCCCCAACCTCAAAAACCAAGCTGAAACCAGCATATCTCCACTGACATTTTCTCTTAGTGATTTAGCCAAATTCCTTTGGCCTGGAGTATCATGAAAGAAAAATCACTGGATCAATCCAGGACCTAATATAGATGGAATATTTTAATTATAGAAAAGGAAAAAAGGTGGCATATATTGTGTTTGGAGGTAAACTTTAGAACAGTAGATAAGCAATAAGCATAGGTAAAAATTGAAATTGCTACCTCATAGGAATAAAGCAACAGTGAAAGAAGACTTTTGTGAACTATACCGATGGAGAAATACAAACATCTGATAACCTGAAGTGGCTTTGTAGAAGTTCTAAAATACAAAACTCAAGGATAAGAGAAATTTATAGGAACACCTGACACTCCCAGGTTTTTCTTCTAAACTGTTGCAATGCCTTCCTAAAAGTTTTGGTACTTCTAATTTTTCTGGCTTACAAACCATCACTTTCACGGCTTTCAGAATATTCTTCCTGAAAGTACACCTCTGCTCATATTTCTTTTCTGCACTCTAAGATTCCATGGCTTCCCATGGTCTGTGGAATAAATTCTCGAGTGTATCATTTAGAGAGCCAGTCATGGTTTTCAACCGTTATTTTTAACACAGTTAGGACCTCACGAAGGCTACATCTCGTTTTCTGTCCATATCCATGTCTGTGTCAGATTATGACCAGTTCCTAGGCCTTTCTCTGAGCCTGGACTTTCTTTTTTTATTTTCTACTGGCACCATCATTCTTCTCTAGCTGTTGAGATCTTACACTTCTTCAGGTTTCACTCCATAAAGGAAATCTCTGCTCTCGTTTTCATGAATGAATCTATTCCATCTATGGTTTTCATAGACCTCTTTATTACTCAGTTGTATAATAGACTTTATTTATTTATTTATTTAGCTGAGCCATCCTGCCACCTGTTGGCAGCTCAGCGGCTGCTCAGCTCGGGCTGGACTCGAACCGCTGTTGCTCAGAGCTCAAACTCTTGAGCGAACTCTTAAACAACTGAGCCACTCGGCCGGCCCTATTTATTTATTTTGTTTTAGCTGAGCCATCCTTCCACCTGTTGGCAGTGCAGTGGCAGCTCAGCTTGGGCCGGGAATCGAACCGGCAACCCTGTTGCTCAGAGCTCACACTCTTGAGCAAGCTCTTAACCAACTGAGCCACTCGGCCGGTCCTATAATAGACTTTTAAAGATGGATGATATCTCAATAATCTTTGCCTTATCGTTCTGTTTTAATAAGCAGCTGTTTACTCATCTGTTTACCCTCTGTGTGCTCTTTCAGGGTTGAAACTGCCAATTTTTCCCCCCTATGATCAGTCTTACTTTGTGACACATTGTTGGAAGCCAATAAATGTTTCTTGAATTAGTAATTTACTTTCCAGTATCCTGAAAGGACAGGAAATTAGAATAGATGCTTGTAGATTACATATATTTTCCCTCCTAATTTAGATAAAACAAGCATTGCTTTATGAAATTAATTCTTAGTAGAGAGTTAGAGAAGTAGTTTCTAGTTTGAACTATGCTAGTAACAGTGTTTGTTATCTTGTATAACTTCGTGGAGGTCTTCGGGGTTATTTCTTTTTCAGTAAAAAGAAAATATAGATCATTTTCAGGTTTCCTTCTGGTAAATACTTTATGGTTTTAGAAAAATTGGGCTACTTTTAAAGAGACAGGGGTAGAAATAGGAAGAAAAAATGATGCAGATTTTGCAAAGAATTGGTACATAAAGCAAACAATATATTTTAGACTGTAATATTAATTTATCATTCTACCAAGGGCAAATTTTAAAGTATTAGCTCAGAATTGTATATTGCATATATAACATAAATGTTCAAAAGTAACATACTTACAATAAAGAAGCAAAATGACCAAATGCCACTATTTTTTCTTCCCTTGCGAAAAATGAATGAAATTATATATGTAAAGAGGATAAGTGATATGGCGTAACCGATGGCACAAGGGATCTGAAATCAAGAGGAAAATGTTGACTTCAATTAAAGACAAATGCAATCTAGGAAAACATTTAGGATCCAAAACACCCTCATAGCACAGGGTTTTATAGTTATTAAAATTCATGACAATGTGACTATCAACGAAAACAGTTTGCATCTTCAAATTTTCTACTTAAATCATATGGTATTTGTCCTATGAATATTGCCACTTACTTGCATCATCTGATTTATGCTTTTAAATAAGGAATCTTGGAGGGTTAAAAGGTAGTCCATCAGGTACATGAAAAGGAATATCAACCAGTACATCGGAACATCCACCAGCGCCTGCCCAAACCAGTAAGCAGAAGGGAAGAGCCCCGAGATCCGTAGCTGGGACCAAGCTTTGTTCTGAGTAGGAGACAGCAAAGATGCAGAGTGGCATTTTCATTTGACGTTTAAGAAAATGTGGATTAAGTAAGAAAACACTCAAGCAAAACCTCCGTTCGTAATAATTCTGCATCGTGGCTACACATGTTATCTGGACCAAGGGAAATGGATAATGCCAAACATAAATGATCAGTTTGCTGCTTTAATTCACAGCATTGATGTTCATCATACCTCTGATAGAAATACGTGAAAGAGGAGCTCAGAATAATCAAGGCATCAACATGTGGTAAACAAAACAGTCATTAATGACCAACAGGGGTGGTCGTTATCTAAGCAGCTAACTGCCTACTTCCCATCAGCTTTCTCCTTGAACTCAGTATGAACTGCCTCTCTCTCTCTCTCTCCCTCTGCCCCCCGCTAGATTGCAAATGTGTGTGTATGTGTGTGTATAATTGCTTTATCCTTTTCATCTAAGTAAATAACATGTTAGGGTTGTCTTGCCATAACACACATTCAAATATTTATTACCCACCCAAATATTTATGTATATGTCCATAAATATAAATACATTTATAAGTATAAATGTATTTTGTACCACTTGCCATTCTCTGAATAAACTTCTAAATTACATATTTTAAAACTACTTACCAAGTGATGTGGTTTTTGGCACAAATTATACTTTAAACCTTTCTAAAAATTTTGAATATATATTGGGTTGTCGGAAAAGTCATGACATATTTTTTCTGTTTTTCGTTGCAAAAATGTGTCATGACTTTTCTGATAACCCAATATATATATTTACATGCATTGTTGATGGTCGCTGATTAGCTAAATGATGTTCCTGTCTGAGATGTAATGTGACCTAAGGATTCATATCAAAATCTCCCAACACAGATCCATTCAGGTAGTGCAATGATAAGGGTTTGGTGATCTACTCAATCTGTGGGTGAAGCTATGAGAGGAATGAAGGATGGTTTTAGGTTACTGACAAGATAACTGATGCATACTGCTGACATTTATGGAGACAGAAAATATGAGAAAACATTTAAGGATATCATAAATTCAGTTTGGGGAGCATGAAGTTTGAGAGTCTGTGATGCCGCCAGTGGAAATGCAGAGAAAGGTGTTTGGATCAGCACTGGGCTTACAAATGAGAGTCAAATCTGTGAGTGACTGGTAGGTAGAGGGGCTTTGAAGCCTTAGGGTAAGATGAGCTTGCCTCGGAGAAAATGACATCTAACACGAAAAGAGAGCCAGAGGTTGAGATCTGAGGATTTCTAAAATTAGAGACGAGAAAGGAATAAGGAATAAGAAACTGCAAAGAAGACAGAGGGACAGTGGCCAAAGTACTAGGAGAAACGTGGTGAAATCGTGGCCTCACACAGGCCAAAGAAAGCGTTGATGTTTTCTATGGGGCAAATTCTAAGTTTGGACCATGTTAATGGCAGAATGATTGACAGTTATATCAGGCCAGTAAATGGCATTTCCCAACGTTCCTGGAGGTTCGACACCAGAAAGGGAACATTACAGAGATAATACTCTATAATACTGTCTCTCTTCTCTTTGAAGGGGAAGTGACACAGATGAAGATGGTAATGAGTAAACAGAGATGCTTATGCAAGGTTTCATGGACTTGGTGTATTAAAGTTACAAAAAGGGAGCCATTGAAGGATAGACTATTGAAAATTGTAAGCAAAGCTAATGTGAGGTGGCCTGCAATGATTATCATATAAATTCACCACCTTATCATTTCTACTCAAAATTTGTCTCCACTTCAAAACCACTGAACCAGAATCTTCACTTAACAAAATGCTCCAGTAATTTGCAGGCACATTAAAAGATCATTTGGATTAATGAAAGCGTGTCTATGAATGAAAATGGACCAATAGATTGTCAGTTAAACATCAGGATTGTCTTTTTATTTCTCAAAGTTCTCACAGTTTCAAAATATCATTTCCTTTTATTTCAACAATCTCTTTTTAATTAACTCTTTTGAAATATAACATTCAAATAGTAAAAAGTACCCATATTAAGTATATGGTTACATGAGATTTAATGAATGTTTATATTCCCATATCACCATTATAAATCAATGTATAGAACATTTCCTTTAAACTCCAAATTTCCCATGCTCCTTTGTAGTCAATAGCCTTTATTGCTGGTTACAAGTAAACACAGGTCTGCTTTTTGTCACCATGGATTACTTTTACCTTTCTGAGAATTTCATATAAATGAAATCATTCAGTATCTACTCTTTCGTGTCTCATTCACGTTGATGCGTTTATTAGCTGTTCCTTCTTTTGTATTGCTGAGTGCTAGTCCATTGCATGGCTATGACAAAATTTATCAGTTCATAGCTTGATGGACATTCGGGTTGTTTCAAATTGGTGTCTGTTGTGAATAAAGCTGCTAAGAACATTCATGTACAAGTCTGCTTGTGGAAAGATGTTTTCTCTTGGATAAATACTTAGGAGAGGAATTGCTGAGTCATACAATAAGTGTATTTTTAACTTTATAAGAAAGAGTCAAATTGTTCTGCAAAGTGAGTGTACAAGTTACATTCCCACCAGCAATGAATGAGCATTCCAGTTTCTCCACATCCTCATGAACTCTTGCTATTGTCAGTCATTTTAATGTTATTCATTTTATTTGGTGTGTAAAGGTAGCTCCATCAGGGTTATTATTCCCTGGATTACTCATGAGATTAGCCATCTTTTCATGGCATATTTTCCATCTATATATCTTCTTTGATGAAGTATCTGTTCAAATGTTTTGCCCATCTTTAAAATTAGACTATACTCTATTACTGAGGTATAAGAATTCTTTATATTCTCGATATAAATATTTTGTGGGATATATATGTATTGTGAATATTTTTTTTCTCCAGCCCACAGCTTTTTATTTTCTTATTGGCATTTTATAAAGAGCAAAAGGTCTTAACTTTGATGAAGTTCAAGATACCATTTTATCTTATGGTTTATGCTCCTCCTGTCCCATCTAAGAAGTATTTGCCTAGCACAAGACCTATGATTCGTTTCAAAATGATTTTGTATATGGTGTGAGGTGAGTGTTGAGAACATTATTTTTCATTACTATATCAAGTTTCCATTCAATTTGCTGGAAAGACTAACCTTACCTCATTTGAATTCCCTGGCAGTTTTATTGAAAATAAATTGATGATATATACGTGGATTTATATCTAAAATGTCTATTCCATTTTACATATTTATATGATTATACATAATTAATACAACACATGCTTAGTTATTATAATTTTGCAGTACATGTGGAAGTCAGAAGCATAAATTCTTCAACTTTGTCTTTCAGTTATTTTGTCTATTTTAAGTTCTGTGTATATCCATATACATTTTAGAATCATTCTCTATAATCTATCTATATTATATATATTTCCATTTGTGAAATCTTTTTTTATTTTTATAACTTAGGATTTATTTAGTCTGAATTGGCTGCTCAGTTAAACATATAAAAATAGCCTCTTAAAAATCCTGTAATTATAATACCTTCAGCATGTAATCACACAGAGTAATGAAAGTTGCAGTTAACGCACTGTTACCTTATAATCATCAACGCTGCTCATGGCTATGTACGGAGCACAGCTGGATGCCAAAATCAACCAGAATATGGCAGGGACCAGGAGGTCAAATGGATTATTGTCTTCCTTTTGAAAAATGCAAAGAATGTAATGAGCTGAATAAACAAATCCAAAATTCATTTTCTGGAATACATTTTAAAATATACGAAACAGATTATGTGTAATCCTGCCTTAGGTCCCTTTTGAGCTTACCAAACTCTTTCTGTTACCCATTCAGTTTTGTAGCTTGACTTTTGGCTTGACACCTCCATTTACGGATAAGGAAAGTGATGCGAAGAAGGCAAATAAACTGCTGATATTACATCATTGGAAAGTAGTAAGAGTTCTCATTTTCTTACTTTATGATTTGGAAATTTACTCTGAGGCTAAATATTAAATAATAATGTACAGTGGAAACATTCAATTTCCTAATGGATTTTTATAATAGTTTCCAATGGAATAGCTTGACTCAAAAATCATATCAGATATTTTATGGGCCTAGTGAGACTAAGTTGTCTTTCTAGGTGCACCATGAGACCAGGTAAATATTGGTTGAGGAGTCACAAGCAGAGATGAGGTACTAGCAGGGGAAGTAACATCTCCAGGGCAAACCTTGCCCTTGGTTACGCATATTGTTGCTCCTTTTTAGAACTATCTTGAAGGACAGAAGATTTACAAACTCTCTTGAAAGCAGTTCCCATTACTTTTACGATTCGCGCAGTTGTTGCTGAATGACGCACATTACTGAAAAAAGGCGTAACCAGAGGCTGATGGTTTTCAGCCTGGCCATCAGAGACACACTTGCCACACGTAGAAAGGTGAGATTTCAGCTGATTGTCAGAATCTTTCCAGAACACCCTGCATGCTGGAGGGGGCGGGTTTAGTACTCAGTGGCAAATCCATTGATTTGGGGCAGGACAAAAGTAAGGTCTGAAATTATTAATACAAAAAACGCTTCCATGAGCAATAAGTAGGTAAATTTGAATAGAGTATAAAATAAGTTGCTGGAGATGGTTGGGCACATCAATATAAGGCCAATGGACTCACCCTAGCTAAACAGAATGTTTTGACAGCCCAAAGCCCAAGTCAATTTGCTCAATTATTGTATCCTCTTTCAGAAACCAGAAAAAAGCCTTAAGGTAATATAGGAGGTTAATTAAAGAAGCCATCGCATATGTTCTAAAATTAATTAATACTTGACCGGTGGATAAAACTTTTCGCTTTAATGATTAAGTTTCTTACCCACGCTGACTGAAAGGAATTTTTACTTTCTAAGCACACAGTGAAGTATGCTGTGAGAAGGTAACTCAAGATATTGCTAGAACGTATGAAAATAATGATGGATACATGGTCCATTTTATATGCACATGGGTAGGTGGTTATTAACCATATATAATAATAAAACCTCACAATCGAGTGATATAATTTCCAGACCTCTGACATTCATTTATGTATTTAACAAATAAGTTATTCCATCCTTATCATGTTTCAGTCCCTATCCTATGTACAGGGTATTATGTAGTATTGAAGATACATGGTCTCTATGCTCAAAGAACTAAGAGGAAGAAATATATTTAGGCAATAATCAAAAAGGAATAATCGCAAATTCTGATAGTTTTCCAAACTCACAGGGCTATAGACATTCCAATCACTTGGGCCTCTTTTCAGAAATAAGGTTTTGTTTTGTTTTGTTTTGTTTTGCCTCACGCATAAAAAAGCTGGTTTGGCAGGTCTAAGGTAGGCCCTAGGAATTAATATTTTTGACAAGAAACTGTAGTGATTCTAATGCAACCAGTTGCAATTCTAACCTGAACTCTGTCCTAGGTTTTTTTTTCTTTTGTAACATTTATAAAAGTAGTTAGTAAGGCTTCCATTTCTTTCTCTCTCTCTCTCTCTTTCTGTTCTTTCCTTCTTTCTTTTGTTATTTTTATACCAGTCACAGTGCTGCATGATTTTACTTCCATTTCCTCACATTCTCTTCGAAAATACATTTTTTTAAAAAAAATTGGGGAATTTGGGGAGGGCAACAATGTTGGGGAATTGGGAAGGGGACCAGCCAAATTGTTGTTCTTCAGTCTTAGTTGTGGAGGGGGCCAGTCGCCATCTAGCTGCCTGTCGGCAGCTTGTGGCCTCTAAGCTCAAGGTGCTGTGTTCAATCTTAGTTGGGGGTGGGCGTAGCCACCATTCTATGTGGGAGTCGAACCAGCAGGCTTGTTGTTAAGAGCACGTGCTCTATCCACTGAGCCATCCAGGTGGCAGCTCAGCTCAAGGTGCTGACTTCAGTCTTAGTTGCAGGCAGGCAAAGCCCACCATCAAACAGGCAGTCTTGTTAGGAGCAAGTGCTCTCACCAGCTGAGCCATCCTGCCACCTGTTGGCAGCTCAGCGGCAGCTCAGCTTGGGCTCAGCATCACTGCCCATGTGGGAATCGAACCAGAGGCCCTGTTGCTCAGAGCTTGCGCTCTTAAGCTAACTCTTAACCAAATGAGCCACTCGCCCAGTCCCCCAAAATACATTTTGTTAGTTATATGTTGCATTTAAAAAATTGAAGCTCTCAAAAGTATATTAATTTCCCAAAGCCAGACAGCTAGCATGAATCCAAATGCTAATTTCTCATGCAGTGGCTTACTCAACAAGAATAAAACTCCAGCACTTAAAAGAGTGACCTGGGAGATTCCTGTTGGAGGAGAGTCAGTAAGAATATAGACTTACCTCCAAATATGTACTTCTGTCAGTTTGGATACGTGCTGATGGTTTAACCATTCCAAGCAGCCCGTTGCTAACAATATCCATGAGAACTGGGAAGCAATTCAGTCTTTTGGTATTGCAGGCTAATGAAAAGCTGTAATTCTAAAATATAAAAGCAAAGTTGTAAATCCTCAGAGATCTTCATTTTTTTAAAGAGGTCAAAATTCAATATTTTAATTAAAAATTCATGTCTTTCAACCAGTGTCAAATAATCAAAGCAAACACTGTATAAGTAAACCAAAACATGTACATCAACTATATCTGATTTTCAGGACCCCAAGTGTCTGGCTTAAAGCTAGAATCAAGTATTATTACTGTTTAAAAATAAAACAGAAGTTTCAGAATATATGTATTAGAAAATTCCTTGGGAGAAAATATGAATTCTTTGGATTTGAATATGTATTTGGCAGTGAGTATTGCACAGTATTTATTTTGCTAATGCACACAGTTTATGTTGGTAGATAATGATTGATACATGAATTATTTATCATATTAATGACTGCAATTTGCTAAGTAATAAATGAAAGCAGCATATGTTTCTCATTTCGTTTCCTAAATTGGAAGCCTGAGTATATTGACAGTATATTAGCTTTCTACACCTTTAGGAAAATTTACAAAATAGGTATACCTTTTTATGACCAGACACGATGATGGCTCCATTATAAGATGGATCATCTAAGCCACTGCGAGTTCCAAAGGCATCCACTTCCAAGGCTACGTTCTGATGCTTCACAGAATGTATAAAGTCGTCAATGCTTGCCCCTAAATTGTAGTTAAATATATTAAGTATCACAAAACTAAGAAGATCAATGTCAAGTTGTACAGTGAAATTAAAATTAACATCCTTACGTGATACTTACTGTAATGTGACACATCCATGCTGCTATGAATTAAAGCTCTACTCACTTCTTATGGAGTTTACTTTATAATATATTTATTCACGTATGGGTACTGCCGTATGGTGCATTTGGAATAGATTTGTTTTCTAGAATCTTTCAATGAGTAGCCATATCAATAAGGTTTTAATGACACAGATAATCTTTGACCACCAAATCTGCTAAATCTCACTTCACTACTACTAGATTAATAATTGATTTTCAAAATGTTTCTTGATACAGGAGGACAACTTGTTGAATGGCTACGTGAAGAGCTCCATGGCCCTTCTCCCCAGAAAAAACAACTATAACTTGTAAAAAAAATTACTAAAACAACCAACAAGTTAAAATCTTTTGATTGTCTTGGGGGCATATAGAAAGTGAAAAAAAAAAAGGTTAATAAAATCTACTGAATCTGTGTAAGAAACCAAGAAATTGTGGCAAACATCTACATCTTCACTCCCCTTCCTTGATTAGCATAACAGAAGCTCCACCAGTAATGGGTGAAGCCAAGAACTCAGGGATCCTTCCTCAAGCCCAGTCTAGGGCTACAGTATCTTCCTGGGAGGACCTGGGCTGAGGATGATTGAGCACCACTATTTTTGGCCTCTTGTCTCTAGATTAGAGCTTCCACTTTATAAGTAGGGGATGGATGGAAGAAGAGAACTCGAGACCTCTCAGCCACTCTTGCCTGGTTTCAAGCTTCTGCAACATGAAGTTGAAGGGAATGAAAAAGTTTGGCGGTCTGCCCCTCCCAGGAAGATAACTGGGTATGTATTGAAGTTGCATCCCTGCCTTACACCACACACACAAATGAACTCAAAATGGATCACAGACCTAAATGTAAGAACTAAAAGTATAAAAACCTGAGATGAAAATATAGGAGTAAATCTTCGTGATCTTGAGTTAGGCAAAGCCTACTTAAAGATGTCATTAAAAGCACAGGCGAGGAAACAAATAAGTTAGGCTTCATAAAATTAAAACATTATGCTTCAAAGGACACGAAGAACAAAGTGCAAAGACAATCTACAGGATGAGATAACATATTGGCGGAACATTTAGAGTTGATTCTTATTATTCACAGTAGTTATGCATTCACTTCTAGGAAGTCACCACAAATAAGTAAATTAGTGAATACTGAACCATTGCTCCTAGAGGAACCACAAGGTTAGGTTCCCGTGAGCTTCTGGTTACAACAGTTTCTTTAAGCAATCAATACATTGCTTTATTTTATGTATGTTTCAGTATATGTATTGTTGATTCATTAACATTGATCTCATAGCCAACAGCACTGTCACTCATGCCTGATCAAAGCTTACCTAACACACATATTTTCTCTTTAAGGTACGTCATGGCCTTCCTGACTTAGGAATGCTGGGTAGCACTTCCTAAGTGCTCTATTACATTATTTTAAACTATTACAGTATTTTAAACACTATTTTAAACAGCAAAATCACCAAGAAAAATTTGAAAAATGAGGCACTAAATAGGCTACAGAAAAGATATTTGATTATAGTAAGATATTTCTTAATAGTATTAGAGCTAAGCAAGAAGGCAGAGTATCACATTGTTCTACCTCAGCTGGAAATGCAGGTATCAATGACACAAAATTTCCACACCTCTGAGCATATCTGTGAATGACCACAAAAGTGCCACAAGTCTTGGTTTTGGGGCTACACATACATTTTAGTGAGTAGATAAGTTTGCAAACACATCACTTATGAATAATGAGAATCTACTGTGTCTGATAAGAAACATGTATCTACAACATATAAAGAACACTTAGAATTCAATAAAAAGACATATAATTCATTTATTAACAGTGAAAATAAAAGAAGTTAATCTGGTCAGTAAGCTCGTGAAAAGATGTTCAACATTATAAACCATTAGAAAAGTGCAAATCAAATCACAAGATACTACTCGACAGACAGTAGGATGGGTATGACAAAAAGCAGAAAATAACAAGTGTTGGCAAAGATATGGAGAAATGGGAACCCTCACAAAATACTAGTGTAAATGTAAATTGGCGCAGTCACTTTAAAAAATAGTTGGGTAGTTCCTCAAAAGGTTAAACATAGTCACCACATGACCCAACAATTCTACTCCTAGGTTTATATCCTGAAGAAATGAAGAAAAAATATATTCACAGAAAAACTTGTCCATGGATGCTTAGAGAAGCATTAATTATAGTGGCCAATTAGTGAAGAAAAAAAACACCCCAAATATCCATCCTCTGATGAATAATAAAATGTGGTATATCCATATGATAGAATATTATTCAAGAACTTAAAAAATGAAGTACTGACACATGCTACAATGTAGATGAACCTTGAAAACGTCATGTAAAGTGAAAGGAGTCAGTCACGAAAGATCAGGCATTGTATGAATCTACTTAGATTAAATGTCCAGAGTAGCGAATCCATAGAAATAGAAAGTAAATTGGTGATTGATCAGAGCTGGGGACAGAGTAAATGAGAATGATGACTAATGAGTATGGAATTTTTTTTTGAGATGAAAATATTCTAAAATGAATTGCAGCGAAGATTACACAATTCTGTGAATGCACTAAAAATCGTTGACTTGTACACTTTAAATGAATACATTGTATGGCAGGTGAATTATATCTCAAGATGTTACAATGTTTTTGGGGGGTACAAACTCTTTCGTTGTTCAAACTGCCACCAGATAATCTATTCCTAATCCCTGCTCCATTTTAGGACTTGTATTTATCATCCCCAAGCCTCATAAATTGTTCTGAACACATGCTAAAGAAGCCAAAAGCTCATGTTTCTCTCTCAGGTTTAATGTTTTCTAAGTAATACTCTGAATAGTGAACGTTATTTGGAAATTCACCACATTATTACCTGTTTTATTGATGATTAATAATTGAGTGAGAGGATCGTGTGGTTGTTGTCCAGGAGCAAGGAAGTATATATCAGGAGAAAGTTCCCAAGTGTAACTGCTTTGATATATTTTCAAGATGATGTACTCCAAAAGCACAGGCAAAAATCCAATTCCTAGAACCAACAGCCTACACGCAAGAGAATTGCCAATGTCAATGCATAGTCATTTCCTAAACTTTTAAAATTCTCTGAGCAGGTTATAATGGAATGAGATCAAGAGAGCATGAAAATGAAACATATAGGTCTCTGACTCATTTCTTGAGTATCTTGTCCTTTTCCTATCTCTAAATTAGAGATGGTAAAATGTAGGTTTGGCCTTTGCTCATTGCTCTTGTCGCTCTCTGGCCATTTGCTATCCCACACAATTTCACGAGATGTGTGTCCTTTAACTCTATGTCCAAACTCTGCCTCGTTCCTGGGATTCCAGTGTGATGCTCTCCCTTTCTGCTGGTTAATTCATCAAAACTTTACACTCAATTTTTTTTCATGTCCAATCTTCTTCTCATAGTCTCTATTTCTTTGGTGACTAGTCTCCTGGCTCCAATTTTCAATTATTTTTTTACTCTTCATTCTCCTGTATTCGCTATTTCAAATAAGTTGAAAGTTTTTATTATGCTTTTGTTATATCTTATTTCGAAACCTTTCTCCATCCCTAATGCCTAATTTTACAATCCTACATCTTGTCAGGATTCTTGCTTTAACGACAAGCATCTCTTGAGGCACTGTTATACAGTGTTGCCAGATTCATATTAAGGATGTTTCTTAAATCATGCTAATCTTGTCACATGTTCTCAATGAAGTCTCAATACTTATTTATTTAGCAAATATTTAGTGAGATTCTATTATGTGCCAAGCCTCCTATTTCTTTGATGCTTAATCAATGTACTCATGGACAAGGCACTGATTAACAGTCAAAGTACTATGGACACGAGGGTGCTAATGAGAGGTGATATGAATCTTAGGAACAGGGATAGCACCTATTATGCACACCGTAAGGATGGAGAGTGAGCTACCATCACTGAAGAGGGCTGGAGGGGAGTTGTGACATCTAGGTAAGAGCAAGTAGAACTTAATGGGAGAGTCTGGACTTCCAGGGATGAGTCTGTAGCATAGCTATATAGCATCTAAAATTAGGCATGGCAGATGCATACTGGGAAAAAAAATCCATATCTCAACACCTCTGTCATCTATCATAGTAGAAACTTTGAAAGAGAGTGAATATTACATTACTTTAACTTTTTCCCTAAAATTAGCTCAGAAACATTATACTCATAAGTTCCACCGGCTAGTCTCCTAATACATAAAACACTAGGACCATGAACTAGACTGAGTATTATCCTTTACCCAGTTTTGTAGATGCGGAAATTTATTTTTATTTCTTTTGTTTGTTTTCTCTTGTTTTTAGACCTTAGATGTGTTTTTGAATGCACTGACTGAACAAACACCTATGGCTACTCACAGTGATAAAAGAGCTTTTCTTTCGTGCTTTAACTTTAAAAAGCGAACCCTTGCAATTGCGCAGACCTGCTGTCTCCACAGAGCCATGCCACCTACTATTTCTCTCATCTCATTAAGTGAAGAGAGAACTTGCTCCATCTCGACAAGACTTTCTGTCTCTCCAGCTCTTTCTGCCGATACTTCTCCCAAAATGGAAACATCTGCAAAACACAAAAGAAGCAATTCATACAATCCCACTTCAGATGCACTTTACTGAGCTTAATATAGGAGTTTGTTTTACTGAGGGTGTCACAGGTAGTTAAGTCTAGGCATTATGTGGTATGATTGGCTGCTGCCATGAACTAGAAAAATAGATGAAAGATTCAGTTCTTGAACAAAAGGACCAGAAAGAAGATCTTAGATCATTTGGATACAGACAATATGTTAAAGAGGTTAAGATAAATATGCAAGATAGCCATAGTGCCTAGGTGTGACTTGGAAACTTGACAAAGAAACAACTATTTTAGGTGTTCACCTAGAGAAACAAGCTACACATTGGTGTGCTACAAACCGGGGGTTAACTAAACTGTTGCTACGGGAGGAATTTCAAATCTATTCATACTGTTTGAGGTTGCTGCACTCTTTTGTGTATTGCAATCTCTAGATATCCAGGGTGCTGTTTATTGTATGATCTTAAAATAGGTCTAATATCGAGCCTCAAAAATCACACACTCATCAATGCGCACGCTCAACCATGGACACAAAAACGGACCATTTCTGTTATGAGTAAAGATGTAAGAATTGTAAACAAGATAGTGGTGAACAGCATAGTAAAAGAATGACTCAGGGACCTTCTGCTTCCAGTTAGCTGCAAGAGATTGTTATCCCTCTTACCAGGAGAATAAATAACAGCTATTTTCAATCCATCAGATAGATGAAGGCACACACACAAAAAGACTAAAAAGAGTAATTTTCATAAAGGGAGGAGCATTGCTAAAGGAGAAGATTCCTATGGCTGCTTTCATCCTTAAAAGAGTGGCAAAAGGGGAAAGAACCACCTTAGGAATGAATAAGGAGAAAGCATCCCAGGCTAAACAAACTCTTACATCCATGTGAGCTGCTATGACTGACTGAAGTCATGAGTCGCAAAATGAGTGTACACCGTCTACCAGTTCTTTCCCATGGGAAATTCCCCAAGTTGATGGAAATGGTACACCAAAGGTTGGAGACAGGAAGGAAAAGCTGAGAGAAATTCACACTAAGGTGCATAGAGTCTTTTCTTGTGCAAGACATCATCAAGGTGCATGGGGACTTCCTTTGTGAAGAAGTCCACCAAGAACTAGTCGCTAAACAAAAAAGCAAAGAGAGATACACTGAGGTAGAATGGACCTTCGCTGGGTACGGTACATTGACATGCTAAAGTCTGGGTGTATGGTGATAAGATGGAGGCATAGTAAGCCATGGTCAAGGGTGGAGAGTCAGGTTAACTTCCCAGTAGCAAAAAAACAAAAAAACAAAACAAAGAACCCAAAAACCCCAAACAACTAAAAATCAAACTGAACAAAAATGGTGACAGGCAGATATCTTGTGTTGTTGAGAAATTTGGCAGTGAGGCTATATAACATAGAGACACCTCTAGAATTTTTCCTGTGGTATAATATGAAGCCATGCTGAGGTGAAAGATCTGATTCTTCCTGCAAAACATTTGTTGCTGGGGGTGAACTAAATCTAATAAAAACTGTGTAAAACCCCAGGCACTTGCCAAATACAAATTAGATCAATTCAGTCATCCATATGTGCAGTCTGACAAAGTAAGAGTCATGCTATTTTCTTGACATTGCTTATTTTATTATTTACTGATTTTTTTTACAGCAGTGTCCAGCATACAATAAAAATTATGAGACATATACAAAAGTGGGAAAATATAACCGAAAAGGAAGAGAAAAAAAATCAGTCACTGATACGAGTCATCAATCACGTAGTCCACATGTTGGAATTAACCCACATATAGATTTTTAAATAACTATGATAAATATGCTATAAGATCTTCTAGTAATGTTAGGATGGGAAAATATAACATCCAAAATAAGGAGCTTAATTTGGGGGCTTAAAAACAGTCTGAACACAAAAGAAGAAGTTATCTGTGACTTTGAAGACATGCAAGTAGACATTATCCAATTTCTAACATAAAGGGAAATAAAGAATGAAAAACCTAAACAGAGTATCCGAGATCTGTGGGACAATATCAAATATCTAACAAAAGTATAACTGGAGTCCCAGAAAAAGAGGTGAAAAGAAATGAGACCAAGGAAAAAATGTTGAGAAAAAATTTTCCAAGATTGATATAAAATATTAACTCATCGATCCCAAAATTTGAAGAACCCTCAAGCAATATTTTAAAAAATAACTTGGGCTGGCCGAGTGGCGCGTTGGTTGAGAGCTGGCTTGGGAAGCCAGAGGGCCCTGGTTCGGATCCCATATATGAGGGCCCATGACACTGCCCTCTACAGCTAAGATGCTGAACAACAGCTCAACCTGGAGCTGGGCTGCTGTGAGTCGCTGGCGATGGCATAGGCTGCAGCCCCTGTGGCAGTGGGTTGCCATGGGCTACCATGTGTGGCCAGCAGCCAGCGTGAGTGGCCAGCAGCCGCTGTGAGTGGCTGTCCAGAAGCCAGCGACTGATCTGCCTTGCCCAGGAAGAGTGCAATGATGGTGCCAACTTGGGCCAGTGAAGCAACGTCCTCCACAACTAGACTGAAGACAAAAGGACAGCAACTTGTCTGTTTCCCCTTCCCCAATTCCCCAATGCTGTTCGCATCCCCCAATTCCCCAATAAAAAAATTTTAAAATAAATAAATAAATAACTATAAAACTACAAATTCTTGTACACCAGTGATAAAAAATATATATAAAAAACAGCCAGAAAAAAAGGATACATTACATACAGGAGAAGAATGATATGGACAATGGCTAGCTGCACATAAGAATAAATGGAGTCTAGAAGAAAATGAAATGATATCCCATACTAAAAGACAAACACCTAGCAACTTAGAATTCTATTTCCTTATAGAATTCTATATCTAACAAAAGTGTCCTCTAATTACGAAAGAAAAATACAAAATAAAGACATTTCCATATAGACTGGTCAAAACCTGAGACAACTTGTTTCTATCAGTGATGGATTACAAAAAGTGCCAAAGGATAACTCATATTAAAATTAAAGCAGCTGTATTAATACTAGACAAATTGGGCTTCAGGATAACTGTGATTACCAGCATTTAAAAGGGACCTTTCGGGCTGGCCAAGTGGCTCAGTTGGTTAAGAGCTTGCTCAAGAGTTTGAGTTCTGAGCAACAGCGGTTCAGTTCCCGGCCCGAGAGGAGCAGCCGCTGAGCTGCCAACAGGTGGCAGGATGGCTCAGCTTAAAAAAAAAAATTTTTTTAAAAGGGACCTTTCATAATGTTAATGAAGACAATTCATCAAGAAGACATGCTAATCCTAAATGTGTCTGAGCTTAATAATAGAGATTCAAAGTACATGGAGTAAAAACTTACCTAACTGAAATGAGAAAAAGACAAAATTAGACACATCTAGAATTACAGTTGGAGATTTTACTATCCCTCACTTGTAATTGATAGAAAATGTAGGAAAAAAAATCAGTAAGGCCATAGCATATTTGAATAACTCTATCATCCAACTTCACCAAACTGATATTTATACAACTCTACACAACTAAAGTTCTATAAATATATATTCTATATGTATATAGATTTAAATAAACACAAATATATGCATTTATATGTAGGTATGTATACATGTTTTTAAATGGACAAGAAATATTAACCAAAATAGATGAAATGCTGGTTCAACAAGTCTCAAAAAATCTAAAAGATTTTAAGTCATAGGTTATGTTTTATGACTACATTAAGTGTTTTAATGTCAGTAACAATAATAGGAAATCCACAAATATTTTCACATTGAACAGTATGTTTGTAAATCATCAAGTATGACAATAATGTCTCATCAAATAGGGCATATCATCAAAGATGTAAAAAATATTTACAATAACCAAATAAAACTTTTAGATTTGAAAAGTACAAGAACTGAAAAAAATTTGCTGAAAAATAAAAGCTCAACAGATTTCATCTGGCGTAGAGATGATTAGTAAACATGACTAAAGATAAATTTAGATTATTAAGTCTAAGGAACAGAAAGAAAAAAGAATGTAGAGAAACAGAGTCTCAGAAAAATGTGAGACACTATCAAGCATGCTAACATATACCACCACAAACAATAATGGGACTTCCAGGAGGGGGTAGAGAGAACCCAGAAAGCATAGTTGAAGACATAGTGGCGAAAATCTTCCCAAATTAGATGAAAATCTCTAATCCATACATATAGGGAGCTCAACAGACTCCAAGTAGGATAAACATCAAGAGGTCCACATCGAAAGACATAGTCAAACTGTCAAAGCCAAAAACAAAAAAGAGAATCTTGAAAACAGAAGCAGAAAAACAGCTCATCATACAAAGAGACCCTCCATAAGGTCCAGAGCTGACTTTTCACCAGAAACCATGGAAACCAGCATGCAGTGGTTGAAGAGAGATTTAGAATAAGAGTTTTATTTGACATTGCTCTTGGAAAATGGGATAAGACGATCCTTGGAAAAAAGAAAATGGGTCATCTTTAATATCAGGACAGTATTGGCAGTAGCGGTAACAAATGTGATGAGTGTGCATTTCACCTTTATATATGCTTGTCTAAGAACGGCTTTAATCATGGAACCCCACATTGTGTAATCACTTCTTTGGACGCTCTCTTCTTGAAGTATATATTGCACGAGGGGCTGTGAATAGCTTTACACGATAATTTTCATGCATTTTGTTTACCTGGTTCATCAATAGTTGATTTTCCTTCTAGCTTTAGGAACACCTCATTCAAGGTTGTCATGGAAACCCCATAATTCTCAATGCCCAGGTCAGGACGCTGATCCAGGTCCTCGTAAAGTTCTAAAGAACACATACACAGTAGTGAATCAAAACAACAAAAATCGCAAGTGAACTAAGGACAACATTTCAAACTAAAAAGCTCAAATATGTGAATTATACTACTTGCGACACATCAGACATTTTAAAAACTAAAATTTCATGATAAGTAACATTCTTCAAATCTATATATTATTTTTTATTTTATATGGTGTTACAGCCCGTACATTAACTTCTTTTGATCAAATATTAATTTATATTGATATTAAAATTTCATTTTAGTTTTTTTCTGACTTGCTTTTGAAATTTAATAGCGGAACTTCAGATTTTTTTCATCTCTAAGCTTAATTAATCGAAGAGTCTTTTCCAGAAAACAGATACAAATGGGGCCATTTGTGCTTTAACCAACAAAAAGGATAGAAGTAATTTTTTGAGAATTAGTTGGGTTGTGCAGAACTTTGTTCAGTTCAGAAAATATCTGTCAAATAAAGTAGATTGGATAGAAATAATTTTTAAAAAACATTTCTTCTTTGACTATGGAAGAAAAACTTCACAAGATCTCTTAGATAATGAGGAATTGACTCAGAATTTTCTTGGGATAGTAGGAAATTGTGATAGTACTCCCTCTAGCAATTCTATATCCATTCATTCTTCAGTTCATTCACCAATAATACTTTTGAATCAGTCATTGCTGAGCAATGTCCCTGCCTGCATAGATTTGAATTATAATGGTTAATTAATGAAGCTTAAATAAAAACTTAATTTTAAATTCTGGTACGATTATAGAAATCCTGAAGCTTCAACCTGGAGCTTCTCCCTGGGCGAAAGGATAAGTTAAAAGCTTTCTGTCTTGATTACAGCACTGTATACAGAAAAGTAGAGAAGTAAGATTTAAATTGCTAATGAGTATTATGTGTCCTTCTTCCGTTTCCCTAAAGTTATACAAACTATTCTAAATGACAACTATTATTAAAACACATTAATTAGTTTGACTGACACTTTGCCTGATGGTTCTAAGGAATATTTGCATTGTCACCATAAAATGTATATGTGAATGACTTTGTGGGGTAATTTATTGGGTCTTTGTTACCCACACATAAGGCGAAGTAAATTATTTCAACCATTCCGTGCAGGCCCTCATCCAGCTCCATTGCCAGGGAGGAGATTCTCTGAGTGATCATTAGTAAACTTCTTTTTCCCTTTTTAAATTAAACTCTTGATTTTGAGACAATTTTAGATCCACATGCAGTTGTGAAAAAATAATACAGAAAGATCTGTACACTTTACTCAGTTTCTCCCACTGGTAGCATCTTAAAAACCCACAGGACAATATCACACCCAGGATATTGACATAATACAACCAAGGCAGAGAAGGCTTCCATCACCACAAGGATCATGGTACCCATTCATAGCCACACCCATATCTCTCCTGACCCCATCTCCTCCTAACCCATGGCAACTATTCACCTGTTCTCCATTTTTACAATTTTGTTATTCCCAGAATGGTATACAAATTGAATCCTACAGTGTGTAACCTTTTCGGATTGATTTTTCCACTGAGCCCAATTCTTGGAATACTCATCCAGGTTGTTCCAAATACCAGTCAGCAGCCTTTTGTTTTTATTATTAATTATTATTATTATTATTATTATTATTGAGCAGTGTTGCCCATTACAGACGTACAATTTACTTAACCAGTCACTCATTACAGGGCATCTGGGTTGTGTCGGTTTTTGTCTATTCCAGATAAAGTTGTGAACATTTACATGCAGGTTTTTGCATGAACATATTTTCATACATCTAGGATAAACACCCAGGAGTGCAATTCCTTGGTTCTATGGTAGCTGCAGGTTTACTGTTTTAAAGAAACTGCAAACCGTTTTTCCAGAGTAGCTATGCCAGTTTATATTCCCACTAGCAATGCATGAGTGATGGATTTTCTCCACATCCTAGCCAGAATTTGATGTCATCACTATTTAAAATTTTTTTTAGTCATTCTGATAAGTATTTAGTGATATCTCACAGTGGTTTTAATTTGCATTTCCCTAATGACACATGATATTGAACATCTTTTCATGTGCTTGTTTGCCATCTGTGTATCTTCTTCAGTGAAGTGTCTCCTCATATCTTTTGCCCAATTTCCAGTTGGGCTGTGTGTTTTTTATAGTTAAGTTTTCAGAGTTCTTTATATATTCTGGCTACTAGTCCTGTATGAGACACGTAGTGTAACAAATTCTTTCTGCCAGCCTGTAGCTTGTTTTTTTTTTATCCTCTTAACAGGATCTTTCACAAAACAAACATTTCTAGTTTTGATGAAGTACAATTTATAATTTTTTTTCCTTTTATGGATTATGATTTTGGTTTCAAGTTTAAGGTCTCTTTGCCTAGTTTTATATCCTAGGAGATATAGATTTTCTCCAATTTATTTTTAAAAATACTTATAGTTTTATATTATATATTTAAGTCCAAGATTTATATTGGGTTAATTTCTGTATGAGATTTAGATGAAGGTTCATTTTTATGCCTATGGATGTACTTGTCCCAGCACCATTTGTTGAAAAGGCTATTTTTCTCCATTGCTTTTCCACCTTTGTCAAAGATCAGTTGGGCATATTTGTGTGGGTTTGTTTCTAGATTCGCCATACTGCTCTATCTATGTATCTATCACTCTGCCAATACCACACAATCTTGATTATTATAGGTTATACAATGCCATACATAGCTCACCGCCCTGGTTCAGCACAGAAAGACCAGACAAAACCCACAGCTGCCTGCCTCTCTATTGGAGCAAAAGAGTGGACAGAGCAAAAGTCAGAATCTCTGACCAGGTTGATTGGCGGGGGCCTTCCCCTGTACAAAGCCAGGCTGTGCAGACTGGGAGAGGTGCCTGCTTTAGCTAATGCATAGACATTAACCCAGGCGGTCAAGGAAAATGAAAACCCATCAGCCAAAGATGTTCCAAACAAAGGAACAAGATAAATCTCCAGAAACTGACCCTAACGAAATGGAGCTACATGATTTACCTGACAGAGAATTTATAACAGCTGTTGTAAAGTAAACTTATGTGTTGGCCCAAAAAATCCAAAGTTATCACACAGTCTTGTCAAGAGAAGAACCAGCCATATTATGGGATTGTTTAACAATATGGTTAAGCCAGAGGTTTTTAACCATTTGTGTTCATGCCTGCTTATGAATACTAGAATATTCTGCTACATGCTACAAAGGGAATGAAGGATTAAAAAAACTGCCTAAAATACCTAGGCATTATAATGCAATAATTAGAATATAATATTTTCCACTGTAGATAAAATAATCCAGTTATTATATTATTATTTGCCTCCTGTTTCAAATACCTGAAGACATTTGCAGGCTATCAATAAATGTTAGTTATAGTAATCATTGTTATTATGAATATTATTATGTATTTCATTTTATGGTGCTCATGTACATTACCTGGAAATCTATTTGTTCTTTCTAAGGGCAATGTATAGACAAGTTTTCCTTCACTTTCTGCTGATAATTTGGCATCAGGGATGTGCTGTTTAACAAGTGATGTTATTTTTTCCTGAACACACATTTCATTCAACTGCAAACTGGGGTTCAAAAAAATATATATGTTATTTGACATCGCCTTCAATAGCATGAAGAAAATGACTAGTCTCTATGGGACAAGGAAAAATCAATTAAAATCTAATGCGAGAAATAGGTACTCCAAACATGAAATAAGAGGACAAAAAAATATTAGATTATATAAATCTGAGAGGGGAAATGAAAGAATAAGCTAGTCAGAATTACGGGTCAGGTTGTTCAGGAATGATTCCCAGAGAAGGCCAATACTGACTCAGATCTTTAAGGGTAGAAAGCCACAGAGTAGAGATGCCAGGGACATAACACGGAAAAGTCAGGACTATACAAGATGGAAAATGTTGGGGATTTTTCAAAGGGAGTTTAAATTGGCTAAATAGGATTGTTGTATTAGGAAATAACAAGGGACTTTTGATAGGCATAGGCACAAAACAGACTCAGTGATTCAATTCAGTCATCCAATGCAAATTTGTTATTTCGTAGTACGTGACAAAAATTACCCTAATTGCTGAGAGTACAGTGGAATAGGATAGCATTGTCCTGCTCTTATGGAGTTTAATGTCTAAAGGTAGAGACAGAAAGAAAACAAGTAAAGTAGATAAATATAATAATTACCAATAGTGGTAAGTGCTATGAAGGAAACGGGGTTATACATAGAAGCAAATTAGGGCTAAAGGCATGTTTGGGTTGGTGGGATCACTAATTTTGCTTTTTTTGTAGGACTAACACCAGGATTTTGACACAGAACAAAGTATCACTGAGAAAATACTTACCCATTTGAAACACCAATGTATAAAAACAAACAAAACTATTAATCAAAGTTATGAAGGATACAGTAGATAAAATGTACTAGTAATGACTTGACTTCAAAACTTGGTTTTGCCGTTTGAAATGGGTTATTTCAACTATCTGAACAGTTTCCTCATTCGTACAATGGAATAATGATTGCTAACACCCAGGGTTCTAAGAAGCGAGTACTGGTGATGTTTGTATAGCAAGTCCTTACGAATGGTAGCTATTTTGTTTGATCAAATGCTTGAGTCAAAATTATTCTACTTACTCATAAGGTATTATGAACATACAAGGATATAGACCATTTTTCAAAGCAGTGAAATCCATTGAGGGAATGAAGCAAAAATATCATCATGGTTCCCCACAATGATGCTGTCTTCTGAATTAAAAACAATTCAAGAACTATTTCTTGGCTCCTTACAAGAGCTTGTGGTGGGCACTAGAGGACTGCATGAGCAGAACAAGCTTATCGCTTGGAAGAGGGGTCAGCAAGCTTTTTCTGTAAATGGCTAGATAGTAAATATTTTAGGTTCTGTGGACCATTAGATCTCTGTTGCAACTATTCAATGCTGCCTGCCATTGTAATGTGGAAGCAGCCATGGCCAATACCTAAAAAAATGGGAGTGGCTATGCTCCAATCAAACTTTATTTGCAAAACACTGAGTGGGCTGGATTTGGCTCATGGATCATAGTTTGCTGGCCCTGATTTAGAAGAAGAAATAAGGCAATTACACAAATTATTGTCCAGGAGACCCATGAATTCGTCAGAGATCCTGACTAGCATTGTTTTTTTTTTTGGAGGACATGTTATGTTGCCAGACAATGGGCTGGCAACCATCTCACTTATTTTTTTATAATCTTTATTTGTAACTAAGAATTATTACTCCTACTTTATAAGTGAGAAAACTGAGTTTCAGAGAGTTTGTTTAATTTCCCAGAAGAGAATAAAACAAAGTGCCTTAAGAAATCAAAATATTAGGACAATACACAGAGATGTAAGATTGATAAAGGCTACCCAAGGTAGCATTCAAATAACTCTTTAGGACTTCAACAGGTCAAAATAGGCTAAAAAATACTGCCAGTTCCAGGAAATAACCTCAAACAATGAGAACTGTAAACCATGATGGGTATGTGCAAGGAACAAAGAGTATTTCATTTTACTTGATTCATTTGAATCAAGTAAGGGCAAATTAGATATGGGAGTCATGATAGAGTGGGCCATTCCATCATTATTGGGCTACGGAGTTTGGACTCTGGTAGGTAAAGTGGAACTATTGGAGTTTTTTTGTTTGCTGTGCCTTGTTGTTATCGTGCTTTTTCTTTCTTTTTTCAAGTACAGATGGTGTAAATCAGAGCTGTACTTGAGACAAACTGGCAGATTCATGTACAAATTAAAAAGTAATTTAAAATATGGATGTGGATACTAGACTTCAAAGTGAAAAGTATCCAGGTTCAATTCTTGGCTCTACCGCTTGTATTAACCCAGGGAGCCTATACTTTCTTCTAAAGAGTAAAAGTAACAACAATTCCTACCTCAAAACAATAAAAGATTTCAGTGAAATAATGTTAAGTATCTTATCTCTGAATCACTCAATAAATAACAGCTAGAATATGCTACTGTTCCAAATAATGATAAAAATAACAGGGAGAGGATAGAAAAAAGAGGAAAAACAAAAAAGAGAAGGATTTAGGAATAGGAGGAGAGGTAAGGAGCCTACTTAAGAAATTATGTTAACATTTGGGTGAGAGATGA